TAGTGACATGACTGATGACTGAGTGTTCTGATCTGTTCTGCAGGTCTACCGCTGCCGGGTTCTATGCATATAAGATGACTAGTGCACCAGGTATGTCTCTCATCTCACCTATCTGGTTTATTGTAGTGACATGGCTTGCTTTCCATTGAGTAGGTTGTGTGGAGGGTATGGGTCAGCAGATAGTACTGTGTTGAATGTCTAGCCATAGCAAATCCTGTCTAGTAGCTAGTCTGAGCAATTATACACTGTTTATTGTGTTCATCAGTCAATGCCCGCTTTTTGTTCCAGGGATCTGGAATATCAAGCAAAAGACAGCTGATAGTCTGATTATGGGTCAAAGCAAGCTGGCCTGAGCTTGTAATATGTGTAAGTCTGGTACATATTGTACTTCTTGCGGGAGTCTTGCAACATGTGCCATCCGAATATAATGGCTGGCCCAGCCGTCCACAAGTCTGGTACATATTGTAATACTGGTACTTATTTTAATTGATTATATGCTAATGGTATTCAGATACCAGTTATGGGAAATTTTGCTGATGAACCCTAACCTTGTCATGTTCGTCATGTGACCGATCGTAAATTACATTCCGAATCCTCTGACTTTGCCTTCGGTCTTGGGGACCGCTACCTCTACGGATTCTTGCCTTGACCATCCCCCTTGCATTACGCCGCTTGCACGTTGTGACCAGAAATGACTCGGTACACCAACTTTGGATACAAGCGTAAATATCTCGAGGCTGGTTTTGACAATGACGAGGCCCAGGCTGACGGCGATCAGTTGAGAGAAGAAAGTACTGTTGCACAGGCATCGGAGACTACAGCGACTACAGACCCTCCCAAGAAGAAACGGAAGCGTAACCGCAAGGCAAAGACTGACAATTCTGACCCTCAAGGCGCCCAGTCCGGGGAGACTGAAAACGACGGCAAGGAGGGCAAAGGCCAGAACCGAGAGAATCAAATTGAGGGGCATAGTGAACCGTCAAGCACGGAGGAGAAGCCTTCAAATTTGGATAAGAAGAAGCGGAAAAAGGAAGAAAGGCAACGACAGAAAGCTGGTATGCAGCCGTGCGTAGGGCTTATGTTATGATTCACCTTGTCCTTCGCAGAGGCCAAGGCTCGCTCAGAGCGGAGGCGGTTAAAACGCATTGCTGAACGACACGCCAATACTACCTGTCTAGCATGTCGAGAGAAAGGTCATGTGGCGAAGGATTGCCCTAAGGCTAAGCGTGGGTCGAATATTGACGGCCAGGATGGGAGCAAAACGTCCCACCAGAAGAGTGTTGTCGGTATTTGTTACAGGCGCGTTTCTCTATCCTAAGACGAGTCCGTTTGGTCTAACGCTGACCTCCTTTGATAAACACAGGTGTGGATCGAGACGACATAATCTCTCTCGGTGTAAGAAGGCGGTAGACCCGGCAAACCCCCTGCCATTTGCTTCTTGCTTCGTTTGCTCTGGTACCGGCCACCTCGCCTCTGCATGTCCTCAGAACAAAGAAAAGGGCATATACCCAAACGGGGGCAATTGCAAGCTGTGCGGAGAGACGACGCATCTAGCGAAGACCTGTCCGCTCAGGAAAGACGGTGGGTGCTCAGCATCGCCCAAGCCTGGCTATCATCTGATTCGCCTGTCCCACAGACTCTACCAAGAACATCAGCGCCTCTTTCGTGGGCACTGGCGGCGAAGCTGGTGCGGATGAGGACGATTTTCACATATTCAAACGCCGAAAAGCCGAAGTAGAGATGGAGGAAAAGCAGCTCGAGCGCGCGAAGCGCATGGCGAATGTCAAGGCTGGCGTGCACTCCGGTGTCGTCAAGGCCTTTGGCAGGCCGGCGCAAGCTGGTGGGAACGCAAAGAAAGTGGTGTTCTTTAAATAGGGAGAGCGGGCTCTTCCGAAGTGTGGGCGCCAGTGGTATGTCGGGAGTTCAGAGCGGTCCTGAGGTAAGCATGCGCGGACGGACGTTCGGAACTCTTACAGCTGATCATCAGGTCTCTGGCTGTGGGCTATGTATAGACGCCCGTACAAAAAGGCGCCTACTTACTAATGGTCGGATCAATTGGAGATGATGTCTATGGCGCCCATTCGCACCCTCAGAGGTGCCCCCGTACTGGAAGGAGTAATACAATCGCCGGTACCGTCTGGAAGCTATTCACGGCACTGTGGGACGATCAATGCCTCTCCATCCCATCTGTTTGCTCAAGGGCGTCGTATCACGATTCCTACGAGTATGCTCCTGATTCATTATATCATCATCAATTCACCCATCTCACCTTATATACCAACTTGAGCGTCTTATGTTCCTCTCCCCTCCTTTGCGACACCCCCCCTTGTCCCTGAATGTTGCGGAGATGCAAAGCACGCGCATCCACTTCGACCCGCGCGGAAGACATCAGTATTAGTCGCAAGCGGAAGCGTTCTGACCAGTGTTCCGGGGACGCAGATGTAAGCGCCCCGACGAAAGAATACTCTTGAAAGCTCATGACAGGCATGAGTAGGTTTCGGAACCTTGTGCTAGGTCCCCTTCTCCCCCCAGCGGGATGACGCTGGGAAATAACTCAGACGAAAGACCCTATAATGCTATGAAGGATGAGTCCCATATCATGTCAGACTCGTCAAGCGACATCTTCAGCAGCGAAGACGAAGATTCCATCTCCATCTCCGCCTTCCCACCCACCTGCCACCCACCAGCTATGCAAATATCCCTTCCCCCGTCCTCCCATTTCATGGACTTCCACGACCGCGCGCAGCTCACGCCGATATCAGAGACGTCAGAGATGGACGAGGACGAGGACGAGGACGAGGAGCAGACACCTGCCCTGGACACCGCGTCGCAGACCCCCAGCTTGACCTCCGCGAGCTCGGTGGAGTCGTACGGGAACCCAAAGACGCTGAGGAGGGTCGGAAGAAGCCGGAAGTGGTACCGGGCGAGGGAGGAGAGCCGGCAGGCTAAGCGAAAACGGGAGCAGGAGCAGGAGCAGGAGATGGAGATGGATTTGTTGGATAGTGGGAGCGAGAGCGAGAGTGAGTATAGTGACAGCGAGGAGGGGTATTAGTGGGCGGTGCCGAGCAAGGACTTCAGGACTGTGAAAGATGTTGATAGAATGTAACTTATGCCGGCTGGGGGCAATATGTTATTATGACATGTATCGTGTATTATGAATTGTTAGTTTATGATTGCAGTCTCAGCAGACGGCGAGCAAGGGAGAATAACATGAGGTTCAAGCTCACAGAACGAGCATTCAGAGCATAGTGACGTAGGCGGAGAGAAGCTCAAGCAATATCCTCGTAGTCTTCGTCGATATCGAGGTACTTGCGGATATCGGCCGGGTCGACGCCGTTCTGTCTGCAAAAGTAGGAAAGCAGCATGGCGTAGTTGTCTAGAAAATCATTCAGTGACAATCACTCCCGTCATGGAGGGAAGATGGAGGAAGAAAGCAAGGGTAGCGGCAAGGACATACCAGTCCACCGTACGGCTGCCTCCTTGGCTAAGACCAATGCTCGCTTCTTCTCCTCGACTTTGACTGGATCGCATGCGCCGTACTGCGCGAGCTCGTTCTCGAGAGACTGGAGTTCTTTCTTTAGGTTGGCGAGCTTTCGCAGGGAAGCCACGCGGGCGTCCTAGGACATGCAATAACAGGCGCATATACCCAGGGATATGGAAGGCGTAGAGCAGCAGATAAAATGTATGATCAGTTGGTGAACACCACGAGACGAGGGGGAGACGGGTACGCTTTCGGGACGAGCTGCGCGCTCAGCGTCGATGTTAGCTCGGAGCTCGGAGAGCTGCTTCTGGTGGGAGACTCGGGTCTCTTTCACTGTGTCCAGCCGATTTTGCATCTGTCAAGGATGTCAGGTGCAACGATTTCACGCAAAGCGGTCCTGTATGCAGGGAAGACGCTTACCACGGTTCCTCGTTGAGAGGGAAAGCTCCAGAAGACTCGTAAAGGGACAATAGGTTAGCAGAGGCGCAGATAATATCATGGTAACAGCCCAGATATAGTAGGGACGCACAGTTAGAAGAGCCGACTTTGTCACTGGAGACAAGTCCGTCGTCCACGAGCGATTGCAGGACCTCTTTGACGGACTGGGAAACTAGACAAAAATGCACGCATGCTATGCTCATGACTAAGAGTGCTGAAGGAGACTAGATACCTATTCCTTTCATCTTAGGACCCAGTTTCTCCAGCTCTTTGAGCTACGCGAGGGTTCGAGATTCCAGAATCGAATACCATGAGATTAAGACATAACATACCTGAAAGAAGTCTTTCTAGAGCGACACACAGTTCGTACAAGAAAATCAGCATGTTGGTCGATTACTCACCGTCTCATGGAAAATCTCGAGTAGTCTGGTACGCTTTTCTTCGGCGGACAAACCTCGAGGAGCCTGGCGATCGTTACATTATGTGCTCAGCGAGAGTCATCGCAGTGAGCCCAGACAAACCATGGCGAGACGTAGGCAGGCACAGTAAAGAGGGTAAGGGGTGCAAGAGTCGAAGGGCGATGTCGAATTAAGAGCTCCAGGGGTAGGGGTAGCCGTTGTAGCGGAAGACGCGTGACATTACGCGACGCGTCCATCACGTGCCCAGAAGCACCAGGGGCTTCCGGATCCTCAGGCTTAAGCTTGTCATGGGCATATGTCAAACGTGACGGCTACGAACCGCCCGGACGCTGGTTCTTCTCGTTCTCGTTCAAGGTGAAAGAGGCGGATACGATTCCTTTGGGTATATCCCCCGCCATAGAGTCTTGTCTCCGCGGAATCCATGGACCTGGTACCTTCACGTCGAACCGGGTGATACACGAGATCGTCCAGCCGGCAAGTGCAAAGTATTTTGCTGCTGGTCTGTCTGGCATATCGGTATGATACCAATCTCCTCTCATGTCAAGTACTGTTCTTTCCGGGCGACTTGAGATTGCATAGGCGCTCCCTTTCGCTCTGGATCATGCTGTGAATGCACGCAGCTGCATGTCTATGGGTCGAGCGGCCGAAACCCGCAAAACGAGGAGTCCTCAAATAATAGCGATAAATGCCCCGATGAGGTCCGATGGCCTCCGTCTGGCTCGACATATACCAAAATGAAGTGCTTCGAACAGGGAGCGCTTCCTTCGGAGTATATGTCGAGCTCGCGGTCGTCCGCGCCGCGTCGGGTGAAAGACTCCAGAGGTGAACCCTTCACACATCCCGTTCAGGCAATGCTCGTCGCGACGCGTCTGAACGTGACCTCGAGTCGATTGTTGATTCTGCTAACAACGCGCAAACAAACGGCGCATATAAACCCTTCACGCCCGCCCGCTCTCCTTCATCCCGAACCACGTCCACCGACGCCTTCTGCGATATAATCAGCAACGTCGTCGGTCACCCGCCTGCCTCTATTGGCACCATGGACCACCTCGTCACGCCCTCCCCGACCGCCCCCGCGCCCGCCGGCATCCCCGCGTACCTGATTATTCTCCTTGTCCTTCTCATCCTCTCCATCTTCGGTTCTATCGTCCTGGGTATTCTCTTCTGCTACGTCTTCAAGCGTCGCTCGCCCAGGAACACCGAGCCCATTCTCCCCGCCCCAGTAGCGGCTGGTACCGCTGCTGTCGAGCCCGTCAAGGAACTCGAACCTGCGCCTGTTTCACCCGACGCCTTTGTCCCCGCGGACGGCCCTCCGACTCCAGACAGCAAAGCTTCTATTCGTGAAGAACCCAGGAGCAACACCGACGGCCCTGCTGGTAAACTATACTGTATACTACTCTTGCTCGATACTGATGGACGTAACAGCCAAGGCAAGCAACGACGCTCCTGATGATCACTTCGAAAACGCCCCTCTCGAGTGCGACCGTAAGCGCAAGACCTTCACCGTCCTCTTGTGATACTGAGTTATCCGCAGTTGCCTCGAGTCATCTCATTCAGGACGCTCAAGTGAAGAACAGCAGTCAAACCTTCTACCTCCCTGGCCCGCCCACCGACCCGTTCGACGCCGTTACCTACGAGCAAATGTACAACTACAGATACGATGGACCCGACCCTCTCCAGAGCAAGTTATTCCGGAAGCTGCCCAATGTAAGTTCCTTGTTCTTTGATCTCTGCTCTCGTCTGACGAGCGCGTGCGCAGGACCGGAAGTTCGACTATATCATGGCCAAGAACCTCATGAAGAAACCTCGGCACGCGAGCGTTCAGCGTTTCATGGACCATCGCGAAGAGTTTCAGTATATGCACCTCGACCCCGCCGTTCAGGCCCTCAGCATCACTGGCATCGATCTGCCGTGCTTGGCCCAAGGTAGTACGAACTCATCTCTGGCCGGTCCGTCGCGCACGTCTCAGCCTTCAGATGTCGCGGACGTGCCTTCGTTGCCTACGTTCACCTTCGAGTCTGAGGCTTCGGTACCAGTATCTCAGATGCTCGACGTTCCGAGCAACTCTAGGGAGCCCTCTACCCCAGCCGAGGTAGTATACTCATCGTCCTCGGCGATACCCGTAGCACTCGGCGACCCCGTCGACGAGTCTGTCGGAACTGTCGACGCAGTTAGTGTTCAGCCGGAGCCCGCCCTGGCCATCGACTTCCAGCAGACAGACTCGAAGTCTGTAGAGTGTGAATTGTCCGGCGGCTATGTCGTCTCCAAGCCGGAGGTTGAAGTAGTACCTACCCCTGCAGCCGTTGACGATGTTGCACCCGTCGAGGACGTCAAGACTTCTGAATCGTCAGAGGAGTCGTCTAACATATCTTCTGACTCTGACCTTGCGCATGCGCAAGGTACCTCTGTGTCGTCCGTCTCGGAGGTGACGGATGACAAGGTTGTTGGCTTTGCCGAGGCCGTGCCTACCACTACGGAGATTGATGTTGAGGGGGTGGTAGGGGTGTGGGTGAAGCCCGAAGGGATAGAGGAGCTCGATGACAAGGAGGCGGCGCCTTCCGATAGTGATGATGAAGAGTCGGCGACCCTTGCTATGGTTGAGAGTAGTAAACTCGAGGCAAGTCCCTGTGTTAACAAGGTAAAGCGTTCTCTCCCCCAAGATAATCTGTCGATGCTAACGTAGACTACTGAGCAGCCCGCTTTAAGTGGATTGATGATTGACTTCGGTAATGTCTCTTCTCTCTTCGCAGAGAGAGCGAAAGTAAGTTTATTCAATACTTTCGTATACGCTTCGCTCATCGTCCCGTGCGCTCCAGCCTATTGGGACTGTTGAACCCTCTAACGTGTCTCATATTGAGTTGGGGCTGTTGGGCTCGCCCTTCCAGATGCAGTCTCCGACCACCTACGACGCAGCGAAGGGTAAGCCTGATCCGATGGAGACGCCTGCCCTTCCTCCTATGGTCGCCACCTGGTGCCAGTCACCCCCTGTCCATCTCGACGACACGCTCACTGGCGATGCCCACGGTAACTCTCTGGGCGTGGCGGAGGTAAACGCGTCCTATGCGGAGTCCATCACGCTTACTAGCGAGCAGCCTCCTATGTCGCCTCCGAAGCCGTCTGTGTGGAAGGGAAAAGCAAAGGAAGTGGATTCAGTCGTAGATACTCCTCCTCTGAGCCTTCCTCTCCACGACTATCTGGGAACGCCTAGCGCGGTACAAGGACATCCCGCGGTTACCGCTACACTTTCGTCACAGGAAATTCTGACTTCCGCGGATTCGGTCGGCTCTCTAGAGTACACCACTGACCCACGGGAGCAGCAGCTACGTGCGGAGGTCTCGGTATTGTCCTCTCCTGTCTCTCGGTCTACTCCTCGTACTCGTACTCGAACGACTAGCAGCCACGGGTCCCCGCGGTATGTACCATACAGGCCCGCAGCCCCAACTCCGGATGCTGGTGTTCAAGAGTATCGCCGGTCCATTGTGCCATGCTCGCCCGTTAGTGTATCTGGCTCCTCGAGGCGGTTGCTTCCGGTCGATTTCAAGGGCACGCCGGCCTCGGTAGAATCGTGGGTTTCGCCTTCTGGCTCGCGGTGCTCTCTTTCCCCTGTGGCTGGACCTTCTTGTTCCCGAAGACGGCCTTCGAGTTCTGCTTTTGTGCGACCGGCTCCGCCTACTCCGTCTAGGATGAGGTCCGTGATTACTTCGACCCCCACTTCCACTAGTCGGCGAAGCAGCAGGCATTCTCTGGCTTTTTCTATCCGGCGTAAGGGCAAGTACAGGGACTCTCTACCGGCGACACGTCCTCTTCGTCTCAACCCCGGTAGCACTCCTTCCGCGAGCCCTAAGGCGGTGAGTGCAATTCGTAATATCTCTTAATGAGCGTCTTGATATACGCTGCTCTAGCTACCCCCGCAATTAGAGCGCATCGTACTTACATCCCCTTCGGATCTTCGACCGCGTTCGGAAATTGGCGCTCTGATGGCAAATATTATGGGCGCATGGGACTCCCTCGAGAGCTCGCCCAGTGTCTGCGGATCCAGGCGTCGTGAACTCCGGAGGGCCTCGTCGGTAATGGAGTTTCCAGAGTGCAGCCCTCCTGCTAGGCCTTGTGCACCGTCTCCGGCATCGAGTCGCTCTTATCGAAGTCCAAGGTATCTCCCGACCATGCTCAGCCCAACGTTCTCGCCATCGCCCTCGGCTGGCATTACTTCTCCTCCTGCTGGTCGACCTTCGGCGCCATCCCCGGCTTCAACTGTCTCTGAGCGGAGTCCTAGGTATCTGCCGGCCATGTGCTCCTCTTCCTCTCCGCCGGTGCCTTCTGTCTGTACTCCTTCGTCTCTGGGTTGCTCAGGTCAAAGATCTCCCGGCTTCGCAGCAATTCCTCTTGCCCGCAATCTGGAGTGGATTCGTCCGGACCGACCTCCGCACTGGGGCCAACTCGCTTCTCCCTCGGGCTCTGATTCACGTCCAACGTCTGTCTCTCTGAGGCCGGAATCGGTACAATCGATCGACAACCAGCTGTTCTTCCGGTACTATGCGAAGCGCCGACCCGATAAAGCCTGGCCAGTGGAGGCCTATATGTACGGGTTCCTTCTGGAGCGCGCCGCTCGAGGGGAGCGTGTCTTACCCGATTACTCTGGAGAAGACACTAAACTTGTCTTGACTGGCAACGGGCACTTGTCTGCGAAGGTCCGAGCGGAGGCCAAACGTGCAGAACTCAAGGAGCTTGAAGATGGGCGACGCGCAGTGCGGTACCATGCACGGAATATGGCCCGCAAATTCGGATTGCTGGAGGGTACCACCGACATCCACCCCGACGAGATAGGTCGCATCGCGGACTACGACGAGGAACTTGATTTGGACGACCTATCCGATGACAGCTCCAATGAATCTGCCGACAGTGGTCACGAATACCAACCCGACCGCGCCATCCAGATGCTGACTACCAAGGACACGCACGACGGGTCAGAGAGCGAGGAGGCTGCTAATGACGCGTTCAACATGGGCCTTAATTATAGTCTAAACGTTTACAACCCCGCATGGGACCCTCCCGATCATCCAGACCCGGTGAGTACTGCCCCTTCCATAGCTCGCCACGCATACTGAGGCAGATGTTCAGCGGGTGAGGAAGAGGTTGCTTCCATTCTGGCGACGCGGACTCGTTATGATTGAGGACGAGACGGTCTCGCATGATTTTGACAGAGTTCCCGTGAGTCGTCATTGTATTCGCTTCGCTTCGGTTGACTAATCAGACTTCTTCAGACTCTGCCGACTTAGGATATCGCGATAGTTCTGTATTTTCGCCGGGACTGTGGGGATTAGTGGTGGTTTATTTCTGTTTATCTGTTTCCTTGGTTCGGGTTTCCTTTGTCTCTCACTGTGTAGTATCTCTCCTTGTGTCGTATCTCTCTCTCTCTCTCTCTCTCTCTCTCTCTCTCTCTCTCCGTCTCTCTCTCCCCGTCTCTTCTTCTGGGTCTTCCTTCTCCAGGTCTTTCTTTCTCTGGGTCCCTTTCTCTGGGTCTTTCTCTCTTCGGTTTCCTTTTCTCTGGTTTCTTTTTCTCTGGGGCTCTCTCATTTTCCTCTTGTATCTCTTTTATGTATCTCTCTGTCTCTCCTGTATTTTCTCCCGGATCTCTTCCAGTGTCTCTTCGTGGTTCATCTTCATAACTTCTCTCGTATCTGTCGGTATCATACTCTCCTGTAATGTTTCCATTTGATTTGATTCATCTGGTTACGCGTGTCATCCATCCCCTATCATTCAGGATCCGACTTGACAGCACACGGTTCATCCCTTCCTGCGCGAACGAGAGACAAGATACTTCGCCAGGCGCTTCTACACACCAGACTTAGTCAGTGCTACCGTTACTCTCGAGCCCAGAATCGACGTCTTCCTTCAACTCCCGTTGTGCGACACCGTCCTGGTTCTTATAGAATACAATATCCCCTTCATCTTCTATGAAACAGCATTCAGTGAACGAGCGGTACAACACCCTGAAGGTATTCTGTTGCAGCCAGTCAGGTCAGACGGTGCAACACGGGAGTCAGGTGATCGGAAGTACCGTTGAGTCATAATTATAATGTTCCTTAAGCACACTCTTGAGGCATTCAGTAACCTGAGGTTGGTTATCTGAAATCCGGTGGGTTCACCTCTTCATCCTATCAGACGTATGCACACTCACAAAAGGGTATAGAGGAGAATAGGTGATGGGCTATGTGGTCGTGTGAGATCTGCCAGTGCGTCATTACGAGCTCGGAAAAGAGGAGATTGAGGGCGGCGCGACATACGTTGTGTAGAAATAAGCGGCCGATCCAGCCTAGGAGGGGCCGATCGACGGTTGCGAGGGACCCACGCAGGAAGGACCACGAGGCGCCGCGGTAGTGCGGGATCGTCGGGTCAGAGTGCTGGATGAAGGTGAGCATCACGATCCAGTGGTTCGCGAGCTACGGTTGTCAGAGTGTTAGTGAAACTTGTCCCTGGGATGAAGGGGAGGGTGGGAGAACAGACGAGGTAAGGGATAAGATAGAGGTTGATGAACGCCAGGAAACCGTGCGAGTGAGCATAGAGCCCTAGGAGGGCTGCCATGGCTGCTATGCCGATGTTGGAAGCCATGATTTGGGTGCGTTCATGTAGCTTGAACAGCGGCGAGCTCGGACTAAAATGCTATATATATATATATATAAATAAGTCAACAACACAATTCCCACTTGTCCTTGGCTGCTCGCTCACGTTAGTGCCCGCCGGGTATTTCTGATTCCCGAGCGCATTATAGAGTAGGTACGCGTGCCACCCCAACAGCTGCATCAAGAGCATGCGCAGCAGGATATACAGTGGCGCGTCTTCGAAGATCTCCCGGTAGTCAATCGGCGTGGCCTTAGCGGGTGAAGGGAGGCCGTATTCACTGCGCGTGCGTGGGAGGTAGTTCTCGTCGCGCTCAAGGGATGCGGTACCTTTCTGTGAGATGGAGAGGGTGAGGTGAGTGCGGGTTGAAATCGAAGAGGGAGCGTACGTGGTGGGTACGGTGGGTGGAGCGCCAAGAGTAGTAGGGTACTAGGAGAAACTGTTGCAAATGGATTAGGGGCGCGTAGATGCAAATGGTGATCGGCTTACTGTGTGCAAGGTAAACCCGAGTAGTGAGTTGACTGCTTTATGGGGAGACATGGTACCGTGCCCTGCTTCGTGGGCTGTTTGTCCGTCTCTGTCAGTAGAATATAGTGCGAGTATCAAATGCAGAGGACACACCGAGACACCAGAACCCTGCGAATAGCACGCCCTGCCAGAACCAATAGCACACCCATAATGTTGCTCGGAGTGCCAGTCCAAAAGGTTGACCAAGGCCTAGGGATGCAGAGGCGTAATTTGCGGCGATGGGAATGTATAGGGCTGCTCTATAGAAGAGGAGGCCGAATAAGATGTCCCTCGAGAGGTAGTACAGTCCTTTCAAGGTCGATATTTCACGAAGGTGGGGAGGAATGGCGGCGTGCACTTCAGCCAAGCTGATCTACAATTTGTTGAGAAACCGCGTTGCGGGGCGCGCCGTGAAATATTGGACTCACCTTTGGGGGCTCGAACGGTCGACACTTCCGCTCGAGGTACTCCGGGCCGTCCGCGAATAGACTGTCGATGGCGAACATGGCGCTCGAAGACGAAAGAGTGAACTCAAAACACGGACTTAAGTCGCAGCAAGAGATCTGCACGCATCATCAAGAGATACAGTAGTGCTAATATAGTCGAGTGCTGATAAGAGCAGTTGCTTCTGATGAAGTATGGGCACATATGATTGGCTGCCACGACGTGCCCGACTTGACCGCACCACGCCTCGGAGCAGGAAAGAAGCGCTTGCCATCAAAACGTGGAGTCTCGGGTGTGATCGTGTCATTCGTCGACCTGCAGCTGGTGGTAAGAGTTCTTCTGAATCTTCAGGTATTTACTCAGATCCACGCCCCTGGGGCTGGCTTATTAAATGAGCATCTTCGGATCGCTTGTAGGTACTGAGGAGACACAAACGTTGTTGGTGATGAAGATGGCTCAGATTCGGGGGCAGTTTGCCGAGTCTTCGCTGCTAACTCTCCTGTTCAGACCGTGTATTCCGGTGGATAAATCGCCCCTCGTTGTCAGGGAAGAGAATGACTACACAGCTGGTATGGTATATCTTGAGCCCATAGACAGACCTTCTGTTTCGGGGAAATGTCGGGATTGCGTCGAGAATGGTAATCAAAGTCTGCTGACGTAAGGCGTAATTTCAAGAATGTCCCTCTTCGCGCGACCACCAAGTCCGCTGCCGTGTCAAAGGCTTGCCCCCCGCTGCAGGCGTTATTCTGCCAAGACAGCCACGAAAACCAAGGCCGAGCTCAAGTACCGTCCGGGTGCAAACCTCCCAGAACCCTGGCAATGGAAGGAAGCATTCTCGTACGTGCAGCCTGGCATGCGCGATCGAGTGTCTATCAAGAACCCTGCGACTGCAGACAAGCTAGCCAAGAGTTTCATTTATTGGAACTGGAGTAAGATGGACGTGAAGAGCGAGGACTCCGCGAGTCCTGAGGGGGAGTATGCTGAGGAGGGTGAGCAGGCGACCGCGAGTTCCAGTGCGAGTGTGCTGGACCCTGAAACGAAGAAAGGCAAGGTGGTCATTGAGGCTTTCCCTGGTAGGTTCAGCTCAAGTACTGCTAGGATGCTCGCTCAGCTCTGAGGCTCGCGTGTCTAGGCCCTGGGGCTCTTACTCGAGCTCTCATGAGATTGCCCAAGGAAAGGATACGGAGGCTGATCGTCCTCGAGGAAAATGAGATGTACTACGAGTACCTAAAGGTATCTTCACTGCACTACTTGATGAATACTCCCGGAAACCATCCGTCCACTAGCCTCTGGAAGATCTAGATCCTCGCGTAAAAATCCTCAAAAAGTCCGGCTACGCCTGGGACACCTACGAGGTGATCGAGGAGAACGGGTGGCTGGACGACGTCAAGAAGGCGCCGTGGGACGTGGTGCAAACCGACCTGCAGTTCATCTCGCACGTACCGACAAACATCATGGGCGAGCAACTCGTGGCTCAGTTCTTCCGCTGCATCCCCGATAGGCAGTGGCTCTTCAAGTACGGCCGGATGCCCATGAGCATCGTCCTCGGCGCGTGGATGTGGAAGGTACGTGCATATTTTTTAGTCTTTTTTTGCGTTTAACCTCACCGTAGAACCCTCTTACGGTTGCTAACTTTACTCGTTAACGTATCATGCGGTGTACACTATGCTGTAGCGTCTTTCGGCTGCCCCAGGTACGGCGGAGCGTTGTAAAGTCTCCGTAATCGCGGAGGCGGTTTCGACGTTCACCAGCTCCCTCCCGCCCTCCACGCTCCTGCCCTATGAGGAGCACTTCCACCCCGTCTTCTCGCGCGAGTCACGGCAGAGCAAGCCGGAACTGCGGAAACATGGGTCGCCGTTGCTGAGCATCAATATCCTCCCATTTGCGAAGCAGGTGCGTTGTTTGCCTTGCGCTCAGTTGGTCTGATTTCAGTTCTTGACGGGGGTGCGGTGCTAGCCCATTGAGAAAGGCGCGCTTGAAAAGTGGGACTTCTGTCTGCGCCGGCTGTTCGTGCTGAAGAGCACTCCGATCGGGAAGGCGATAGGGTGTGTCTTACTCTTCTTGCTGCCGTCGCCCCTTCTCAGCAGTTTGTTTCAGCTCACTCGCACCGGGCGCCACGACCCTCATCCAATACCTGTCGGATGAAAGCTTGCCTGCAGAGGAGCGACTCGACCTGAAAAAGCCGATCAAACAGCTGACTGTCCACGACTGGTCGCTCGTTCTGCGCGCTTTTGAGCGCTGGCCGTTTGCACCTGAGGTTCGGTTTGCCTAGCCTGGTGCCTTTTGATTTCCGAACTGACAGTGGCTGCCGCAGGATCTGTTGATTACAGATGCGTTCCATGCGGATCGGGAGGTCGGGAAGAGGTGAGTCCCGACCGCTGCCCATACGTGGTGATCCCTGGGCGACTGATGGCGTTTTGTAGGCACTGAACGGGCTCTTGTCACGTCGCGGAGACTGAACGTGTGGTTACATCTTTGCAAGACACATGAGGCGCAGATGCTATACAGCCTAATAAGTCTACAGGTTATATACAGTATGATTCCTGGGTAATATACCAGTCTCGACGCTTATCCAGAGAAATAGATGTCATACTTGCATTGCATGTGCTCATGCCTCCACTGCCACAGACCCCGCTGCCAGAGTCGAATCGTCTTCTTCCATGCCCATGGCTGCAGGCGACGGAGGCCATTCGATGGGCTCTGGAGACCCTGCCACCTGCGATATGATTAGGACTTCAAGCTATAAGGGATGGACCATAGTAGGAATACGCACCTCTTGTTGCGTTTCGTCTTGTGGCGTCTCTTGTGTGGGCTCTTGAGTGTCATCGTCTGTTGGCCCGGCTTGTGACTCGTCGATCATAGTCACGTCGGTTAACTGCGAGTCAACTGCATCCGTCTCCTGCGTCACTTCTGTGCTCTGGGTTTCCTCCTGTGCACTCTGACTTTCCTCCCGTTCCGCCCCCTTTCTCTTGCGCCCGCGTTTCTCAGGCGGTGGGCCAGGGGGCAAACCAAAGAGAGTCATCTGCTTCTTCTCTTTGTCTTTAGACTTGACCTTCGACTCTGCGCAGGCGTAAGCATTGGCTCAGGTGAAAGGTGAGACTAACACGCACTCTTACTGCTGTCTGTCTCGGCTGCTTCGACTTTGTCGAAGAAGCTCTCACTCTTATGCAATGATGCATTCTGGGTGGAGTTACGTGCGAACGGGTTGCGAATACTAGCCGCCGCGGGCTTCTTAGCAAACGGATTAACCTCTACGTCCGGCAGACGATCAGTCACGACTGCCGGAGACCCTGGACGTGACATGTCACTCACTTGCTTTGGGATTAGAACCAGCCGTAGGCTTGGATGCTGCCTCTACTGAAAAGCGTCGCTTGGAAGCATTCTCCACCTCGGGGGACAACGACTGGCGTATATCATGTTCGTCTTCTGGTCTCTTCCGCTTCCCAGCTGGGGAGGAATCCTGGTGCATCTCGGAATCTTCAGCATGACGACTTGATGTCATTGTGGATGCTCTATGACTGTCGCCCGGCCGTGCGGGAGCCAGACCTGGCCTTGAAATCGCCGGAGGCGGGCCAAAGTCCTGGAAGGGATTGTGTCTCCGCGTTGATGATCGTTCTTCAGGAAGCCTTGGTGGCGGTACGGGGTCGGAGTCACCCATCCACCGTTTCCGCTTTTCTCTGGCAATTTCCAAACGGTCGTCGCTCATCCTATCCTCTTTGAGAGCCTCCATCTTTTCCTGTAAACCCACGAGATGATAGAATCCAGCAACCTTTGTCGCCATGTCGAAAGAAGCTGTGTGATGCAACATCGATGTCAACTCCAGTGCACGAGGTAGCCTGTCGTTTTTGCAGGCGTTCTGGATCAGCTGGATTAGCTCCTTATCCAGGGCAAGCTCGCGTCGAGAAATCTCGTCCGTTGTGAGCTCATCTCCCAAGGCATCGCGTTTGATGTTGAGAAGCATTGACTCGCGGGCAAAGCTGACCATCGATCATAAGAAGCCAGTTCCATTAATAAGGGCGATTGACTTACTGTTCTTCCAGTGGCCCCTCTTTGGGGTCTCTGCGTCTGAAAGGATACCTGATCGGAAGTTCCTGTATGAGAGGCCTCGGGAACCCAGGATATTCTTGACGACCCTATCTCGACAGTTTAGAGTCTGTGAAGTCGGATGGATTCAACCCGCTCACTTTCAGGATTAAGCACATGAAGTTATCGGCTGTAACGCCTACGGGCCAGTATGATTCGTCCTTGCCCTCCCGTCTTTCGAGAGTATTTGTGTCTAATGACCGGACCCAGGATGCTCGAAGCGGCATGCGGAATCGGGGCATGGTGTATAGGACGCCGTTGGAATCGTAAAGGGCTGGCGCCTTACGTCTCGCGTCAGGCAAGAGAAACCAAGCTTAAGTCAAGTCGACTCACCCCGTCTTCAGTGATGCCGACCCATTTGAGGGTACTTCCTTTGGGGATAGGTAACTTCTGCTTCTGCAAGACACTGAAATCATCGAACTCCCATATAGTACCCATTAAGTTTTGGGAGCCTGCCACAGAGTCAATCCATGATAAGCATATCCACTATGCCCCACATACCGTCTATCGTCGTTGCTCCATCTCGAGTCACAACGAACGCGAATTCCGTTCCGGCGACCATGGTCACATAGTCACCGTCAAGACCGAGACTAATACGTTCAATGCCAGTCCCACTAAGGAGGGTAATCTCATGCTGATTAGTAGCGACCACGACGTTTCCGTAACCCTGGATGTCGCCGTCCGACATCACCCGCTGCGACTTCGTCGCACGCGGACCGCCTGCAGCGATCCCGACAGCTCTGACACCTTTCGGCAGTTCGTAGGTCCATTCACCCTGGGAAGCCCATGTCCCGTATGGCTTATAAGTGACATGGGCGGGATGGTCGTTCTCAGGCGGGCAGGCGAAGAGTGCGCCTCTTTCACCTGATTGCACGCGTCAATGATATGGATCAGTCGAGGAGAGAAGCACTCACCCAATGATGCTAGATCGTACTTGAAGTGATCAGTGAAATGTATCGCCTTCCGAGTTGTCTTATCGTGGAACTCGACATTCACGATGTGGTGAGTGTCTTGGTCAGTTACCTCGATCACTCCGATCATATTGTAATCTACAATAGACAGTATTACTATTGAAAATGATGCCGACTTCATTCTGATCTACTTACCGAGATATCTCTTCTTATTGGTCCATGGCGTCGAACCGGGCTGGAAAGGCGGTTGGGCTTTTGTTACGCTCACTACAGGACCCCCGTCAGCATGAAAGAAGCTTGGTAAAGTTCAAAGCGTTTACCCATTTCTTTCACAAACCCGTCCTTCTTACTCCTCTGCTCTTCCGGTTCATCATCCATCCCAATCCCAATATCATCCAAAATCCAGTCATCATTGTCGAGATCGACATCCGGCTCGGCCTCTGGGTTGGTTTTACCGTCGTCCGCGGCGTCCTCGTCGAACAACGACAGTTCCGGCTTCCTCTTGACGGGGACGGTCGTCACCGCTGCTACCGAGGAGAGCTTGACGGGGTCGGGGGAAGAGGCTGGGACTGGCTGGGGCCATCGGGTGAGGATACCCTCGGTGTCTGTCCATGCGAGGAGGTTTTGCGAGGGCGACCAGGCTAGGTGGGTGATAGTTGCGTTCGGGGTGCCAGGATGCCTGGCTAAGCGTGAGCGCGGTAAAGAAACCTGAAGCGAGTTCCAACACGTACCTGAACAGCACCCTCCGATTATGGGTTGACCAGATGAACACTCCCGCTTGAGAAGCAGAGGCTAGATACAGGCCGTTTGGAGAGAGAGCCAACGCAGTTACGTCGCCTAACGAAGAGTCATCAGTGAGGGTGGACGTCTTTGTCCATGAGCTACGCGAGATGATAGCGATTTCTGGTGCTCTTATGTTAGCAGGGTAATATACTAGTGTCAGCGAGCCGTACCATGCGTCCTGGTGGGGGCGTAGAAGTGCTGACCGGACGTGTGCCAAACAGCGGAGCAGTCATGCACAAACTCGGGAGCTCTGGGATCCGGTTAGCAATGGAGGAGAAGGGGCCATATAGAGGCTACTCACTCCGAGTCTGAGACGGCGGGTATTACGCCCTCGATGACCTTCTCTTGTTTGGGTTCGTCTTCCGAAACGTCCCACACTATGATCTTCCCATCCGCCCCTGATGTCGTCTATACCACACGCATTAAATACACTTGGGATTGGCTTCGTTCCGAGTCTGCTCACCAGCAAAGACCCGGACGGGTGCCATGTCACCTTCCGCACGCACTTCGTATACCCGGATAACAACGATACTTTCAGCGTATCTTGCAAGTCAATCAGTTTCACCACAGGTTCCCTGCAGAAGACAATTCAGCATGCTTTCACAACAGATATCACAGGGCAGAACCCACTCGGATGAAACAGCAACCCGCTTTCCCTTAGGGTCGATAGCCAGAGAACGGACAGCTGCTCCGTTTCCGCCCGTCACGAGCCCCTCCAGCGCGGTAGAGTTCCTGCCATATCTCCTAACCTCCGAATCTTCACTTCCCGAGAGCCAGCAGTCCTCCTGCACCCAGACGGACGTGTCAAGCGTGCTTTGCGAGCAAGCAATGTGACATACCCCGGTAGCGACAGCCGTGATACTCTCCCCTGCCTCGTATGCAACATCGGGCTCCTCATCCGAGCCCTTGTCCATCTTCCAGACGCGTACAAGCGTGTCATTGCCCCCGGTGTAAGCCAGCCTGTGTCGCGTCAGCACGCCGGCCACTGGCCTGGGGTTTTGGTACGTGTTACTCACAAGCCGTCTCTGGAGAATGCAAGGCATGTGTTGCCTGGACCATGTGCTGAGTTTATTAGGACCTTGCTGCCAGACATGATGGGCGCAGTAATGCGAAGACGTGGAGACGCGTAAATGAGCAGGACGCGTCGGGAGAAACGCGGAACGTAACGGTCGTCATGTCACGCTGCCAGTGAAGAAATCTGGCTCTGGCTGTTCCCCAGTAAGTAGGTTTGCTTTATTCATGGAATTGTATAATACTGTAAGATCAACCAGGAGGTACACCGAATTGCGCAGACTGTTTTAGAAGCAGCTGAGGACCTGAATTGGCATTCCCTTCCACTCGCAAAAGTACGGCGAGATTCAAAGTTCAAAGGGCCAAGTGCTTACTGTAGGATCACATTCGATCATCACTGCAGCTGCGTCCAGATGTGCAAGATAGGTGCATCGTCATCCTCATGCACTCCATTTCCACAGCGCAGACAGACGAATGTGGGTTCTCATTTGCAAGATGTTTGCCAATGTAGTACCAGCGTCCTCGAGACACTTGATAAACGGAAAGTTATCTGAATTATCATCTCAGGAGTTCCGAGGGAAAATATTGCACGGTACAGAGCAAGTACCGAGCGCGAGATACGTTATACATACCGCGCTTACAGGCACTCACCCAGCGCATCCGCAGCGGAACTCGTTCGGTTCCGCCCAGGGGTACATGGGACTTCGTTTGACTATCCCAGGCATTGCATCCAGGCTCAAGACACCGCAGCGGCGATGTTGTGAGACAAGCAGGGACGGTGAACATACTGCTTGGTGGTAGCGTCTTGACACACGATCGATCGTCTCCCCTATTGCTCAAAGCAGGGGCCGGCGTGGGACGATTAGCTTCCGTTGTCTCACTCGCACCTTGACCACAGCGTCCAACGACGCGAGACTTGGATGAACTGCTGTTGGAATGTGGCCCAGCACTTGCGAAAGAAAGCACCGGAAAGAGACTAGAGCTCAGTGAAATACCCTGAGTTCTTGGCAGCGGTTAATAACAAGCTGTAATTAACAGGTTAATTACTTGTCAATATCTCAGGGTCGGATTTCCCTTGGTTAATTACCCTGAACCGGGTATTCGGGACATGGTTGTCCAAGGAGACTCTGGGCAGTGTCGGGGTGTATCTGGTGTTTCGTGAGCGACTACAAGCCACTCTACGGAGGATGAGACAGTTATGCCACCTGCTGTCCAGGCAATGAGGTTGTTTTCGTCGTGTGCCAAGCCTGGTCTCTCACGCTGCTCGATGACTTGTTCCTCACAGTACTGCTCCTACGAAGGCTTTCAAGTGCTCCAAAGAGAAGGAGAACATGTCTCTACATTTATTGGGGCCTGAGGGACGTGTTTTACGAGCACCGACTCGAATGTACTGTCGAGGACACGGAATGTGGCCAAATGTGGCCTTTTGGTTATTGACAATGTTAATTACATGTTAATAACTACCATTTT